GGGTTTGATCCTTTTGCATGACCTTACTGGAGAAGCTAGACACTGCCCTCTAGTGGTAAGGAAGAGGAACCGTCTATGATTTTAAAAGGATTTGCAATTCTCTGTGAATCTATATCCGCCTTTGGATCAGGATCTTATCCATGAGTGGTTCTAGACAGGGGCCAACGGGGGCCAGTGCCTCTGTAGATCACGTCCTGGCCCCTGTTTTGGCCCATGTACTGGAGACATTATACTCAAAGAAGTTCTAAAGATGATATGTGCTGGAACAGACACAGTTACTGAGAGCTCCTTTGGTTCTGTTTCATTTTTTCAATAAAAATTATGTTTTATTAATTATTTAAAAACAATAAGATGATGGCATCAGTGCTATTGAACTAGGATCCCAGTAATTTTTACAGCTGAATTTATCAGTTTTTTCTTGAGTTCTAATTCAGCTTTTATAGAAAACGCTAATTATAACTTAAGTTAGGTGAGATATATGTACAATTCTTAAATTATAAATGTATATTTCCAAATAATAGCTTTATTTGATCTTTAGATATTTATATAGCTACATTTTTTGAGTTGCTTTTTTGCTATGCTAAGGGATTTATATTTTGATTTTAATGATAATCCAAATGAATTTTCAAGCCAAAAATAATTTCACTTCATGCAGATATATAAATATATTGAAACCCGTCCGTTTTTTATTTTACTTCATACTTTTCTGTGCCCCCATGAAAACATGCTGAAAACATAAATCTCAATAGAGTCTGGCTGCAGACCTGCACTGTGAGGTTCTCCTGTGCTGTTAGAACCAGTTTATTTGAAACACTTCAAAGAAAAAGCACAATAAAATAAAAGCTGGTATAGTGGAAATATTTTATGTTCCCGTGTTTATTTTCTGGGTCTTCATAATAATATTTTTGTTTATTCATGTCTTTAATAAAATCTATTTCCTGGAACTGGATAAGGTTGAAAAACAGAAGAAAATGTCAAAAAACAAAATTAACGCAGTTCTTCTAGAAGTGTTTGTGCTGTTCTTATCTTTGTTGTTGGACCACATAGATTTGCCAATAGAGAGTGTCTGATTTCAAATTACCTAAACATTATCATAATAGACAATAACACCACAACACCAGAGTAAACAGTAGACACTCAAAAAAGTATATGTATTTTATTTTATTCAAAGTGTTTTTATTGTTGAAATAGCAGAATGTCACAGTATGACGCAGCGTTTAACTTTAGATGAAGTTCCAGCGGGAGTCACATTGAAACATCCTGTGATGAGCTCAGATCGTAGGACCCAGAGTTCAAGGCGAGCGAGACAGTGGAGGGGAGGCGGGGCACCGCCCATCAGTGTCAACTTTGGTTAGAGAGAAATCCAGGTAAGTGACCACGATAATCTGACAGAAGATGATTATCCATGTGAGTCACTTACCTGCTTTGAAAGTTCAGTCCATTCTCTCAGAGGGAGGCAGGATCCAGCCGGTGGACTGCCACCGAGATGAAGAGTGAACCAGGTGCTGCAGCCCCAGTGACTGAGCATTAATCCGATCCAGGTCAGGGAAACAGTTCAGAACAGGAAAGTT